CATATGGAACTTATTGCCATACATCGGGTGACATTTGCTTGGATTATTGTCCAGGCTCACTCATGCATCCATGCATGCATGTATATATGCATGTAATTTATTTATTTACTTCATGAAATATAATACAATGGAGTTAATTAATATTTTGTCGTCGATCGACCTCATTAACATCATCATCTGACCATTAAATACTATTAATAGCAAAGTCACCTCTAGAAAGGAAAGTACATGTACATATAATATCACAGTTACGTTCACTGACTGATATAAATTTTTCAAATATTGAATTAACACAAAACTGCATAGTTTTGAGTACATTTTCAACATATAATAAGAAAGCAATAATTTGAAAAATTCAAGTTTGATTTTTGTTGCTTGTGCCTACAGAAGTAGTCTCCTTTGCATCCGTTCATCGTCGGGACAGGAATCCCGAAACGCAAACGGATGCGAAGCAACGCCAACTCTTCAAAGGCGAAAATACGTAATTTGATTTTTAAATTTTCTCACGAAAAATACACAGCAATGTCACACATACATTTTATTTCTTAAATCCGGTGCTAGGTTTTTTATTAACAAAATAAGTTATGCGCGAGGCCCAGTTTTTTGGAGCGAACTGTGGTGAAAACATGGATCGCCATACTATTTTAATGCTCAACTTCAACTCTTCAAGGGCAAAAATACATGATTGGATTTTTGAATTTTCTCACGAAAAATACCCAGAAAGGTCACATATAGATTTTATTTCTTAAATCCGGTGCTAGGTTTTTAGGATTGTTTTTAATGTCGCCGCATTTCCTCAAAAAGCCTTGAAATCTGGCCTTTTTTCGTCAAATTTGGCACTTCATACGGACTGTCAGGTCAAGCTTGAGTGATCACGGACTATTTGTCCCCGATAAGTTTCATATGAATTGTGTATTTTCAGCATTATGACTTGTGAAATGGAATGTCTTCCTGCATGACTACTTTTGAAATATGTTTTTTGACGAATTGATTTGTGATTGTTGTCTTGCATTTTAAAAAAGGTTTTTTAAAAAACTTATGACTTGCAAATTGTTGTACTTGTTGGCAGAGTTTTACGAAATGATTCTACGCCAATCCATTTTCAAATGTTCTTTTGACAATAGCGAGAATTTCCCTTCCTCGAAAACTATTTTCAAGGATGAAAGGTACTGGGCAAGCAGAGCTATCTGAGTAGCCACTTGGGAAAGCCGCTGCTCCGCGTTATTTTCTGAAATCATCGATATTACTTGCGAATCATGTTCTAATGCATGATTTGCGAAACATTTTCACGCCAGGCGTTCCTTGTCAGCCGATCCACAGGTAGCCCAAAAGGTTACTCTTTCTGTCAGTGGCAGCGATACTTAGCGCAGCGCACCTCCGCCGTAATATAGCGAAAACATATTTCACAAATCATGATTGAAAATCAAACAGTTTTCAAAAGCAGTCATGCAGGAAGACATTCCATTTCACAAGTCATAATGCTGAAAATACACAATTTGAATTTTGACCTCAAAAACGCACAATAAATATCGCGATAAAGATCGTACGGATGTTTTATTAATCAGTTCTATATCAGATATATAGAACTGATGTTTTATTAAACAGTTCTATGYGATATTCAAAAAACGAGTAGGAGTGTTTTTATCCACGATAAAACACGAAATACGAGTTTATTAAATAACTTCTAATACGCAAACCTCTAAGAAACAACCTGAATATTTTAGTTTAACATAAATAAAAAATATCAAAAATGAACAATTGATGAAGATAGCTCCATCTGAACATGAGCAGTAATCAACTTGGTTCCCACATCCAAGCGCCACAATGTTTTAGTCTACTATGACTCTGTAATAAGTACATTTCAACTCGAAACCTAGTAAAGTTCTAYGATGAGAGTCTAAACCTAAGAACTTTTCTAGTGTTGGATACACATCGAATGTCTGTAAATCAGCTAAAACACTGATGTTTTATGCATGAGTGTTATAACTAACTGAGCCGGTTAGTGATAACATGGGTGTAAAGTTATTTTGTTTTTGTTTTTTAATGTAAGCTCATTAGTATTATTTCATTAGCTGTAGTTGTGTACGTATTGTCTTGCAAAGTAAAAGGATTATGTAACGCTTTGTAATGTAAATCTGTCAAGTTGGTACAAATTCGCCCAGAAAGCGAAACACCACAGGAGTGTCAAGGAATTGCTAGTAGCAAAAGGCTGCCAGCAAGTCGAAAAAGTGGCCCGAAGAGAAAGGTTTTGGAGCAGGTTCACTCAGAAACCCCATAACTTAAAGGA